GGGTGTGGGAGCGCCCATGGGGACAACCATCTCGAAGAACTTCAGTCACTGCACCAGGTGAGTAACCTTCTCTTGTTCTTCGAGGAGTGTCCCCAGCGGGGGCACTCCACCTTTAGGTGATTACAAAGCAGTAGTCATGTTAGGAGGTGGGAGCTTCAGAAGGCGAGACTCTGTGACCGAGAGTATTGTTCAGCTGAATTTTGTTTCTGAATGTCTTGATGGCATAATGCTGTGTGAATGTATGCGTCAACACCCACGTGGCAGCCTTAAAGATGTGTTCTGTTGGGATGCCTCATGGGAATGCAATTGTAGCTGTCATGACTCTTGTGGACTCCACTAGCACCGTCCACCTGCCCATCCTGGAAGTGACTAGACAGCCAACACAGGATAAGAGACCTTCCCAAGATAAGAAAGTGGGGTGGGTTCTGGAGTGGCCTAGTGGCGAAGGCATTTATTGGGGGAGTGCAGTGTGGTGGGTTCAAGTCCAGTCCACTCCAACCCCTCTGCCCACCCAGGCAGCCACTGGGGACCCAACACCAGTTTCCCTATAGATGGAGCAGGCATTGGTATCAAGAAGGCAGGATAAGGGATGCTGTGAAGGTAGGGTGCTGGGATGGGTTCTGGAGTCATGTAGTGCATAGAGTATCCACCTGGGGAATGCTCTTACATTGGGCAGAGGCTCCATTTGTGCTAATGTATAAAAGTCAGGGGTGGGAAATAATTTTTGACAGGGGGCCACTCCAAGATTTTGGAAAGTGGTCAAGGGCTGCACTGTTTCATGATATTAATGGAGGAGATGCAGAGTCTGGGATGGAGGTTGGGTGCAGAGGGGAGCTTGGGGTAAAGGCAGGAGTGAACTGTGGTGGGCGGTGGCAGCTGGCACCCCAGGTGGAACGTGCGATCAGTGCCCCTACCTGCACGGCCGTCAATCGAGTGATGTCATCATTGGGCACCCCAGGCTCCCTGTGATGTCACCATCGGGCGCCGTTGAAGGTGGTGCCCTAGGCGATGGCTAAATCAGTCTATAGCCATGGGCCGCCCCTGGGTAAGGGATTGGAGTGCAGGAGGGAGACTGGTGTTTGGGAGGGAGTTTGGGTGAAGGAGGTGATTGTGACCTAGGGCAGGGGACTGGTGTGCAGGGGTTTGGGATGTGAACTAGGATAGAAGGGGATTATGATCTGGGAGGTGGTATGGGTGCAAGAGGGGAACAGAGGGTTTGGGTATGTTGAGTGTGTGTGTAAAACTGTAGAGGGTTGGGGTAGGGAGGCACTTGGGTGCCAGAGACAGGCTGTGTCCAGGAGACTTACCAGCCAGCAGCCTAACCAGCCTGACTGCCTGCAGAGCAAAGACTTGCAGAGCTTAAAATGTTTCACAGACAGCCAACCTCCCTGCTTGCCTGAGCATGTGCTTCAGTGAATAACTTAGCCGAGGAGAAGGGGGTGGATCTTCTTGGCTGCCTTTTATTCAAACAAGTAGCTCCCATTGTCTGGTTTCTGGCCAGAAACTGGTCAATGGGATTGTGCTGGGGGTGGGGCAGCTCCTCAAATTTCCTCTCTCCCCTCCAGTTTTGAAACAGAAAGGAAGCCCGGCAGCTGCGTTTCTGCACGGTGGGCAGGGCTGTGGGGCAAGCAAGGGAACCTGCCTGGAGCTCCCGCTGCCTCTGCAGGCCTGATCCAGTGACTTGACAATGCTTAGAAAACATAATGCTAAGCTAAGAGTGTTCAAAAGACAAAAGTTAAGAGAGAAAGTTACAGGGAAAATATTATAGAAAATAAGAAGAGGCACAAACAGAAAGGGAAAATGGTCTTCAGATGAAGGTCGGGGGCAGAGGAGATGCCAAAAGTCATGAAGACATTTTGATTTTAATCCCCATTTCCCCAACACTGGATGTTGTTCATACCACAAAATTGTTTGTATGTTACTGCCTAATTCCCAAAGCCCCTGGAACAAGCTGGGGATGCCACAGCAGGGTTCCTTTTAAACCATTAAATCAACGTGTTACATCTGTCGAAATCCTATAGAGTCATGGGCAGTGATGCCAAATTTCAGAGTCTGAACTCGGCAGGAGCTGTGTGGTAAACTTGCACATTTAGAATCAAAGTTTGTTTTATGCGCTGTCACTCTCTGGAAATGCTTCAGTTAAAACTCAGAAACCATAACGTTTCCACCCGCGCCTCTCCCACTGTATTTCTTATATAGTAGAGGATGTGAAAAACCCTGCATAAAACCTTATTGCTGGCACTGGTAAACAGGAGTGGGCTCATGATGATCTCATATGGATCCTTGACAGCATGGATGATCTTAGGGTTATTTTGTTGTTGTGATAAAGAAGAAAGTTTCTAACCCTTTTCTCTTTTCTGAAAAATAGAAAATATTGTGAACTGAGTGCTAAATGAATAAGCAGCTCCTGCAGGAAACATGTGAATAGGTGAATAGAGATCTAACATTCCCACACCCAAGTACACATGGTATTAATGTAAAAAAAGTTGGCTAAGTGGATACGTCTAAACTACATGGCTCCGTCGACGGAGCCATGTAGTTTAGACGTATCCACTTAGCCAACTTTTTTTACATTAATACCATGTGTACTTGGGTGTGGGAATGTTAGATCTCTATTCACCTATTCACATGTTTCCTGCAGGAGCTGCAGTCCCCTGTCGACATCAAAGCCCTTTGTGTCCGCTCGGCGTGCTAGTCTGGACAGTCCCCTGTCGACATCAAAGCCCTTTGTCGGCAGCCCCGGTAAACCTCATCCCACGAGGAATAACGGGGCTGCCGACAAAGGGCTTTGATGTCGGCAGGGGAGCGTCCAGACTAGCGCGCCGAGTGGACAAACAGCTGATCAGCTGTTTGTCGGCTCAGCATGGCAGCCATGTAAATTTAAATGAAGCCGCAATCACTTAAATCGCGGCTTCATTTGACTTTGCCTATGTGTCTACCCGGTAAACCTCATCCCACGAGGAATAACGGGGCTGCCGACAAAGGGCTTTGATGTCGGCAGGGGAGCGTCCAGACTAGCGCGCCGAGTGGACAAACAGCTGATCAGCTGTTTGTCGGCTCAGCATGGCAGCCATGTAAATTTAAATGAAGCCGCAATCACTTAAATCGCGGCTTCATTTGACTTTGCCTATGTGTCTAATCTACATGCCTCTGACGACAGAGGCATGTAGTCTAGACACAGCCAGTGTGAGGAATGGCCCAAACAATCACCTTGCTCATCCTCTTCAAACTTCTCATTTCAGCCTTTCGCAGATTGTTGTGATCATGATGCATGGGCTTCAGTTATGCGAGGGAAGGCTGGCCCACCAAAAAAATCTTAAAGCCAGCTCTATTTGGTAATATGTTCAGTCCTGTCTGATGCTAGGGCTGAGCGGGCTACTGTACATTCAGGTGCACGTTAAACAAGGCACTGAAGCATGTGCTTAACTCCATTGATTCTCACATCTTACTTCATTTTGCTAGATCGGTGTCTCATAGCTAAATTGCTCCTAGCCCTTGTGCAAATGGGCAGAGGGTAGGCAAGCATGAAGATAACCCCAGTTTGTAATCACAGCACGTTGTGGTTACACTGTGTGCCTTGGACAAACCACAGCCTATTGCAAATGGTCTTATTTCTAAAATGGAAATAACACTTGCCTATTTCACAGGGGTGTTGGAAGGATTAATTAGTTAATGATTGCACAGCTCACTGGAAATGTAAAGCTCTACTTGATTGCAAAGCTTTTGTAATCAGGATTTTTGGTTAACAGGTGTGAAAGCATTGTGTTTATTTGAGCCACCGAAAGCTAATGGATACAGAAGTCATAATGTATTGGCACAGCGAGCTGCTTGCAAACTAGGAATACTAGTGCAGCCTTGGAGTCACTGGGCTATCACTGCACCTTCTATTTATTGAGAGAGCTGTCATATAAAGAAATACTTCCAAAAGCCAGCTATTGGGTTAGTCAAGCATGATGTTCATGTCCCTCCCCTTTATTGTAGTGCTGTGATGTGCTAATCAGTGGTACAGGCGTTCTTGGCATCTTGTTTTTTGTTTGGTTTGCATTGGTCCTCACCACCTATGTTCTCCTTTCCTTTTAAGGATTGAACAAATATGCAGACTCAGCCCAGACCACTGAGATCTTCCTGGTTAAACACTGAACCATTAATATCTTGTCTCTGTTCTCCTTTCTGGTGTGAAAATATCCCCCAAACCAGAAATGCTGGAGACTGGAATCCTTTTTCCACAAGCAATCTCTAAGGGAACATCTATACTACATGGCTATTTCAGGATACCGGAGGTATCCCAAAATAGCTACTCCACGTCTATACAAGCTGTCTGTTATTTCAAAATAACGGGTGTGCTATTTCACAATTCTGGTAAACCTTGTTGCACAAGGGTTAAGGGATGGCTCGAAATAGCACATTATTTCAAAATTTGGCATTGTGTAGATGCGCCAAATTTCAAAATAAGCTATTTTGAAATAGATTCAAAATAAGATACGCAATTTACATAGCACAAAATATGTATCCTATTTTGAGTTTAGGGTGCAGCATAGATGTACCCTTAATGAAAGTGTAAGGCTCCTCATCTTCTAGAGAAGCAGGTAGCAGCCTAGAAGTTGTTAGCACCATATTGTTAATCCAACTAGCAGGCTTCCCCCTACTCCTGGGTTCTTTCAGGTCAACTGACATTTTTTCTGCATCCTGTGTCTGCTACAGAAGGAGAAGGTAGGAGAGAGTACAGCTCTGACAGCTCTGATTGGAAAAGGAGGGTGCATTGAGAAGACTGGGTCTTTAAGCAGGCTGGATATCTTTCAGAGGGAGGAGAAATCTTTTCCCAGGAAAACGTGAAATGTCTGTCAGCAGCTGGGACTCAGGAGCAAGTCGTGGAAAGAAACTGAGAGAGCAGGTGAGAGGCAGAGAGGCAATGGTGTGAGAAGCACCTAACAGGAGACTAGCAGAGTGTGTGTCAGGGAACCACATCCAGGCTCAGAGGTGGAGGTTCCATGGCAGTTGGAGGCAGCTAGGCAGGAGGAGAGACATGTTGTCAGTTGGGAGTCTCCATGCCACAGTGCCTTGAAAGGAAGCTGCTTCTGGAAAACGGTCTCTGCATAACCACTGCCCTGTGCTTCCCTAGTCCTGCGACGCTGGGTGCCTGAGTCAGCTCTAGAGCATCCTGCTGGAGCCGGAACCTGGACAGCCCAGTAAGCACCTGCTGATACAGTTTTCTCACATGGGCCTGCAAACCTAGAGATGGGACCAGGGTAAAGGGAGCTGAGGGAATGACTGAAGCTGCTGTCACCATATCTCTCTCAGAGTGAGTGGCTCTTTGCCACAACACTGCCTTGGAGATGGTGCAGGGGGCCATTATTCCTCAGGAGACTCAATGCCTGTCTGAGCAGCTCCCAGTGTGTGGGGAGAGAGTGCACAGACTGCGATAAGTCCCCATCCAGTGCTCTTGCAGCTGGCTTGGGAGCAGTAGCCCCAAGGGCTGCTAATAAAGCCCAGGGATTGCACCAATGGCTGGTGGCTGTTCAGGTGGGAAAGCCAGCCTCTGCCATGATGGCTTTTCTAAAAAAAGAATTAACTTGACAGCTAGCCAAGTGGTAGTCTGGGCATTGCTGTCCTTAGGGACAAAGTGACACAGGAGCCCCAGTGCCAATCCAGTGTGTTAGGAGGAGGCTGATAAAACACTAGAGCAACATATTGTCAGCTGCAGAGGATCCTATTTGTTGTGACCTTGACCCAGATTTAAATGTGGCCATCTGTATCTTGCCCCTGGTAGTTCACATTCAGGTAACTATGTGCCCCCACTATATGTCTGACCTGTCCCTGTATAGTAAAAGCAGGACATTACATTACTAGCCATTAACAAGGGGTGAGGGGAGGGAGGGAGGGTTTCAGAGGGGTTTTAGATAGTGCTGGTTGAGAAACATTGAAAATTTCTGTGTGTGGGGGGGAGGAGGGAAGGATAAAAATGTTAATTTTCCTTAGAAAAGTTTGTTTTTACAGTAAAAAATCAAAAAACAGAAATATATTGATCAGGACATGGCATTATGGTGCCTCAAGGAATATTGGGTGCTTCACACTTTGATTCTCCTCTATAGGTTGGGCTACCTGTGGTTGGATGACATTTCCCATGGTGTGCCAAAGCCTTGCCTCATTCTGTAGGGAATTGATAGCATAGCAAGAGTTTCTGGCTGTGGTGTATAATGGGAGATATGATTTGGCTGAAGAGCCCAGCCAATAGAAAAGAATGGAGACATGAGGATCTTCCAAATTTGACTTCAAAACCCATTAGGTCTCGTAGCAGAGCATTTCTCATTAACTATTTCAATTTTGGATGGTTGTTTTTGTGATGAAAAAACTGGAGGTAATCTGGATTTTTCTACAATAAGTAGACACTTTACATCTAAAATATTGTTTTGTTAACCTCCTAATTTTCTATTGAAAGCCAGTTTTGACAGAAAATTTTTAATCACAATAATTTCTTATTGACTGTTCCAGTATTGCCGATATCAAGAACTGAAAAATCATGTTCCAGATCAGGGCTACTGAAGTAGAGAAAAAAGATTGGCTTTAAGAGCTCATATAGAAAGATTCAGGAGTGTTCTGAGATAATGTTTCTGTTAAATGCAAGGAGTTATCTCTGTCTATCTGTAGTATCACCTTCTTATATGTCCCTGGAATCTATTGGTGCACAGAGTCAATACAGGCCCGTACGCAGGAATTTCTGTGGAGGGGTGCTTTTTTGTAAACATGGACTGCAAGGGTGTGAATGTACTCCTATGGCCTCCCAAGTAAGTGGGGAAATCAGCCCCAGCCTTCCCCTGACCTGCCAGAGTATGGGGAAGGGAAGCTTGGGTAGTATGCTGCTCCTACCTTCCTCTGGTCAGCTGGAGTATGCTCACGTGGGTGACCATGTGGGGGTGCTTTCACACTCTTTGCACACCCCCCCTGCATACAGGCCTGCAATAGTATTCTTGTGGCAGTAGTTCTCAGTCAGGGGTACATGTGCCCATAGGGGTATGTAGAAGTCTTCTGGGAGGTACATAAATTTACCCAGATATTTGCCTAGTTTTTACACCAGGCTACATAAAAAAACACTAGTGAAGTCAGTTCAAATGAAAATTTCATGCAGAGAATGACTTGTGTATACTGCTCTGAAATGGAAGTACAATATTTGTATTACAACTGATTTATTTTATAATTATACAGTAAAAATGAGAAAATAAGCAATTTTTCAATAATAGTGTGCTATGATACTTCTGTATTCTTATGTCTGATTTTGTAGTTTTTAAGTAAGGTGAAACCTGGGGGAATGCAAGACAAATCAGAATCCTGAAAAGGCTACAGTAGTCTGGAAAAATTGAGAGCCTCTGTTACAAAGGATCTTCCACAGAACTCCAGTGGGAGAAACAATGATACAAATCTACAGCTTTTATCCTTTCATGCCCTGCTCAGAGTGAACTGATGGATCTAAGTTCCTCTCAGTTCAGAATCAGAGAGGAGTATCCACATCTACATGTAAATACACAAATTCAGCCCTGGTGAATTCAGTGGAGTTGCAACTGCTAACACCAGATGTAAATATGACCCATTGATATCAATGGAATTGCACTTGCATATGTCAGAGCAGAACTGGAACCTTAACTTACTGTCAACACCTAACTGTGTTAAAGGTAATGACTGCATACAAAGCAAGAAATAAGGATTTCATATGTTTCTGCTTTCAGGCTGGAGCAGCCCCACTGCCCATGGCATGGTGGGACCCCAGCTGTCTGGAGCAGCCCTGCCACTGACAGAGGGTTGGGCTGGAGACCCTTGATAACCAATTGAAATGGTATCATTTTAACAATTAACACTTTAAGGGGCATTTACATCCCTAACAGAATTTCTCCAGTATGAGCAAATATGTGTTGTGTACTAAAATATATAGGCACACACTAAATAGCATTATGTAGGCCACCATGTTCTAGATTTTGGTTTCTTACCTACTTGATGCATTGTCTGTATTTAAAGGAGGAAAAATGACAGTGAAAACCTGCAACATACAAAAAGCACTAGCCTGGTATTGGAGAACCCTTCCAAGGATTTTTTTTCTCCTTCTACTTTTCATAATATTGTTTACCATTATTTGGAAAAAGAACAAAGAAGAATGTAACTGCTTTAAAATGGGAAAGCCTGGATTAACACCATTTAATGTAGGTAACAAAATGGATGATTCACAAATTGTTTTCAAATAAGGTTATTTATTAATGGTGGACTATATACAATGATTTGATAAAATCTCCCAAATTTGGAGTTTCTGAATAGCTATTTCACAAAAAATATTGCATATACATTGATTTAATGAAAAATTATGAATCTTTTACAGGATACTACATTGAAAGTTTTTCAGTGATGCAAACATTGTTTTTCAGCATTTAAAATATGCAGATCTTTAATGGCAATATTGACTTGCAATACTTTTCTGAAAAAAACCCCCAACCCTTTCCACTAGAGGAAAGACAGCTTTGGCATTGTTTGCCAAATAGATTATGACCAGTGGAATTTGTGACAAGAGAACTCAAGGTTGATTTTTGTCACCATTATTGCTTGAATACAAAAATTAAGAAAAAGAATACATCTGAGATTTGTTTAGGCTGAACAGGTCTGCAGAACCATGGTTCATATATTTTGGATCCTCAGCTCCTCGAGTCCTGATGCTTTTCAGTGTCTTGGGAGCTGATCTGTGCATGAGAGTGTCTCTGTGTGTCTATGGAGGACTGGGAAATAGGTTACTTACCAATAATGAGAATTAATTAGCTAATGTTTTCAAAGCACTTTGAAGATGAAAAGCACTATGAGTGCTAAATTCTATTAAGTAATTGAGTTATTTGACTGCTAGTTAAAGGGATAATAGCAATCCTTTCCCCTCCCCCTGATTGTGTTTGACTATTAGCTTTATCTGGTTTTTGTTTGTGCAGTGGTCACTACCATCAGACACCTCCAGTGCCCATTCAAATCTGTCACAGAATCAGAGGTGGTAGAGTCATGGGTATGTTAAAGAGGGAATTGCATACAGGTCCATATACAGTACCAAATACAAAACTAAGTCGAAACTGTGCCCAATGATCACGTTTGTACACACTGTAAAACAGACTCCTGCGGCTTCTTACCCAGATAGCATGGGAACTTGCCCACATCCAGTTATTTATACTGGGTTTTGTCAGCTCAGCCTTAGGCCCAGGCTGCTCCTCACAACTTGCAAGGGACCCTGGCCATTTGAAAGCCTTCTTGAATCTTTCTGATTTACCCTGGATTTTGCTGCACTTTCTGATTTTGCTGCACTCTCTATAGGACTGAGATGAAAAGTTTCAATCTGGAAGTTCCTTCTGTGGCTCCAGAAGATCATCTAGCAGTCTCCTGCTCCTTTCTCCCACCAAACTGCAGTTTCCTCCCTCCAAGACCCCCTCCCAACTTTACATGACTGACAGTTCCAGGGGAGTGAGGATAGCCCTGTCCCAAGACCTCTCTGGCACCCTCTGCACTAGTGTGCATTCTATATCGCATATTCCCTTAGACCAAGATGAAAATAGTTCACTGTGTTACGGGTGGCAAAGTGACACTATTCAGTGAGAAAACTTTCAGAGCTGTAGTGGATGCCAATGAGCACAAACTATCAAACATGGTATTGGTCTTCAAATGCAGAAATACGAGTGAACTTGTCAGCTCTTAGCTACAAGTTGGACCTCTCTGGTCTGGACCCTCAGGACCTGACTGGTCCCAGATGACGGATTTTGCTGGATCCTGGGAGGTCATTTTTGGACCCCTTCCAGGGGCCCCCCTGGCCTGCCAGCCTTGCAGGGGTCCTTGCTGCTGGCCCTCCAACAGGACTCTCTGGTCCCGCAACATATGTATTGGACCAGGGATGTTGTCGGATCAGAGAATCCCAATTAAGAGAGTTTCAACCTGTAGTAAGTATCAGAGGGCTAGCCGTGTTAGTTTGGATCTGCAGAAGCAACAAGGAGTCCTGTAGCACCTTATAGACTAACAGATGGATTGGAGCCAGGTGTGGCCCAAGGCCGGTTGTAGTAGCTGGCACCCCAGGTGGAAGGTGTGATTGGCGCCCCCGCCTGCACGACCGTCAATGGCCGTAATGTAATCAAGGGGAGCCTGGGTGCCCCGTGATGTCATCATTGGGTGCCTGGGCCAGCGGCGCCCTAGGTGACCGCCTAGTCTACCTAGGCTCATGGGCCACCCCTGATTGGAGCATAAGCTTTTGTGGGCAAAGACCCACTTTGTCAAATGCATGACATGACATGCAACTGACGAAGTGGGTCTTTGCCCACAAAAGCTTATGCTCCAATACATCTGTTACTCTATAAGGTGCTACAGGACTCCTTGTCGAACCTGTAGTAAGTTCAATGTCAAATGCTAGTGAAATAGCAGAACTTATATAAAAAACTAAAAGTCACCAAACACCTAGAGAAAACTGGAACAATAAGCAATAAACAATGTGAGGTTAAAAAAACTAATCTTGTCAGACAAACCCACGTTTATTTCAACAGAATTGTAAAATAAGTGGATGAATGGAATGAGATAGAGATAATCCATTTGGATTTTATTAAAGCATTAGACACAGCTGCTCTTGTAATCTTATTCCTTATTAATTCAAGTTGGTTGGATATAAACACTATCACATGGGCTGGAAAGTCACTGAAGTTCTGTAAACACAGGCTAATGATAGGCAGTAATGTATTGGAATGGGGTGAGTGTTTAATATAGTGCTACTGGAACAGGTCATGCCCTGTCTTATTTAGCCGCTCTGTTAGTAATTTGAAAGAGGGAATAAACAGCAAACATTAAATTCCTACATATACAAAATTCAGCAGTGTTGCTAAGGGCGAGAAATAATGCAAAGAATCATAGAATCATAGAGCTGGAAGAGACCTCAGGAGGGCATCAAGTCCAGCCACCTGCTCTAGGCAGGACCAATCCCAACTAAATCAATCCAGCCAGGGCTTTGTCAAGCCGAGATTTAAAAACCTCTAGGGATGGAGATTCCACCACCTCCCTAGGTAACCCATTCCAGTGCTTCACCACCCTCCTAGTGAAATAGTTTTTCCTAATATCCAACCTAGACCTCCCCCACTGTAACTTGAGACCATTGTTCCTTGTTCTGCCAGCCTCTCTCCATCCTCTTTGGAACCTCCCTTCAGGAAGTTGAAGGCTGCTATCAAATACCCCCTCACTCTTCTCTTCTGCAGACTAAACAGACCCAAATCCCTCAGTCTCTCCTCATAGGTCATGTGCTCCATCCCCCTAATCATTTTGGTCACCCTCTGCTGGACCGTCTCCAATGTGTCCACGTCCTTTCCATAGTGGGTGGCCCAGAACTTGACACAATACTCCAGATGTGCCCTCACCAGAACCGAATGTTAAAGGGGTTGGTAAAAAGAAATAATATATTATTGTTGACAAACTTGCTTTTTACCAGTATCTGCGTAAATCCCTTGTATTAGCCTGTATCCACAAGAGGAAATAATATAAATAGAGGTGAACTATCTATAAATCTTTATTTAGCTATCTGAGTCCAATGGCAAGTTTTATGTACTGCCACATAAACCATCTTGGAGAAGTGAGTTTATGCACTTGTGCTCAATAGAGAGTAATTGAAACAGTAATACAGTGCTATGGACTGCAAATAGAATATTAGACCATAGTGTATATAGCAGCAAAAACTCTGAATATACACGTAGTCTATAAATGTAATCTTCTTTAGTAGTTTCAGAAGAGATTTGGGAGACAGGTCACCTGGGCTCTATTCCCAGTTCTGTGACTGCTTCTTATGGGCTATGTCTACACTACCGGGAAAAGTCGGAAAAAGATATGCAAATTGAGAACTGCAATTTGTGTATCTTTTTTCGCTTTTCTTTTTGGAAGAGGCTTTTCTGAAATTTGGCCCATCTACACAGGGCCATATTTAAAGAAACCTCTTTTGAAACATCCCTTAATCCTCTCACCAAGAGGAATACAGGGATGCCGAAAGAACACATCCGCTTTCTCAGAAACTGTTCAGAAGTGTTCCTTCAGTGTGGTAGAGCGTTTATCCTGGAAAAGCTCTGCAGTCTAGACATAGCCATGCTCGGTAACATGTCATGTAACTTCTCTGAACCCTCAGTTTACTTATTGGCAAAACAGGTCTGATAATAGCTGCATCATAGAAGAGTTTGTGAAGCTTAAATTAACTAATTTGTTAATTAGCCTGAAATTCTGGGGTGCTTGTTTTTGTTGTCATTCTCTAAATTAAGAATTCTGCTAGGGACTTTGGGAAGTTCCATTTAAGGAAGAAAACTCCCCACTCATTATAGAAAGCATAATGTGTATTATTGCTTTTCTATAAATACCATTGAAGAGGAGGAAGACTCAGAATCTGTGTCTAGACTGGCCAGTTTTTCCGGAAAATCAGCCACTTTTCCGGAAAAACTTGCCAGCTGTCTACACTGGCCGCTTGAATTTCCGCAAAAGCACTGACTTCCTACTGTATGAAATCAGTGCTTCTTGTGGAAATACTATTCTGCTCCTGTTCATGCAAAAGTTCCTTTTGCGAAAAGCTTTTGTGCAAAAGGGCCAGTGTAGATAGCTCAGATTTGTTTTCCGCAAAAAAACCCCGATCGCGAAAATGGCAATCGGGGCTTTTTTGCAGAAAAGCTCATCTAGATTGGCATGGACGCTTTTCTGCAAAAAGTGCTTTTGCGAAAAAGCGTCCGTGCCAATCTAGACGCTCTGTTCCGAAAATGCTTTTCACAGAAAACTTTTCCGTGAAAAGTATTTCCGGAAAATCATGACAATCTAGACGCAGCTTAAGGGTATGTCTAGACTATATGGCTCCGTCTACGGAGCCATGTAGATGAGTTTACTAGACATAGGAAAATGAAGTGGCGATTTAAATAATTGCTGTTTCATTTACATCAAAATGGCCGCCGAGCTGTGCCGATCAGCTGTTTGGCAGCACAGCGGGGTAGTCTGGTTGCACTGCAGTCGACAAGGGAAGCCTTTGTCGACTGCTCTGATATGCCTCATGAAATGCTGCTTAAATCGCCGCTTCATTTTCCTCTGTCTAGTAAACTCATCTACATGGCTCTGTCGACGGAACCATGTAGTCTAGACATGCCCTAAGGGTGCGTCTACACTGCAAAACTATTTCAAAATAACTAGCACAGTCATTTTGAAATAGTGTAAAAGTACTGTCAAGCTGGAGGACTTCTTACTCCTGTAACCCTCATTGTACAAGGATGAAGGGAAGTTGGAGGAAGAGTGCTCTATTTTGAAATGTGCTGTGTAGACACTTCCTATTAGCGCTTTTCTGTGCTCTAGTTCTTAGCTCCATGGGTGCACATTACACATTGTTTTCCTATAACACTGTACCTTGTTACAATATAAAAATGCATAAATAGTAATAATAATGTCCTTCATATATTGAAACATTGGCAGCTTGAAAGGTACGAAACAGGAAAATATAGCTTCCATATGTCCAGGAGCAATAATATATATATATTGTATGCTGTGGCTTGTGTCAGTCTCACATGTTAGAAAGTAACAGTGTCTTGTTTTTAAGGCCACAGCTGGAGAGAAGGAGACGGCTGATTTGGAGGCTGCTGTTTGCGAGATGCCACAAAATCAAAATTTTACTGTAAAAGGAACTGTGATAGATCCTTTACCAATTCCATATGACTATATCTTAGGTTCTCGTCCTACTAGAAAAAGTGAGTGTTGACTGAAGCTCGACTCTGGTTGGCCACCTCAGTTCCTTGCTGTTGTACTAACAGTGAATGTATTATTATGCAATTCAGGAATATTATCAAAGTAACTAATGACCTTAAAAGTAAGATCTGAGAGGCAAAATCACTCAGGATTCCCTGAAATATAAAGAGCCACAAAAGAGGGAGGATTCCAGCTCTCCTTGGTTCCAAAGAAACTCTGCCAACCCAAACTCTCTAGCACTATGGCAACATCATAATACTGACACCAATTCAAGGTACTTAACTGCCTGCTTCATTTTATATATGTGAATAATCTCCCTTATTTCAATGAGATTACTCACAGTCTTAAAGTTAGGAAGGATCTTAGGGTATGTCTGCACTAGTCCCCTAGTTCGAACTAGGGAGGCTAATGAGGGCAACCGAAATTGCAAAAAAAGCATGGGATTTAAATATCCCTGTAGAATGAGGTTTAATAGCTAATCCGAGTTAAGGGGTTTACTTCAAACTCCCATTTCACTGCCGCGTGTAGTTATTCCGGGGCTAGTCAGTTTCCAAAATGGCAACTGCCCGGGAACATGCTAATGAAGCATGGGATACTTAAATCCCACTCTTCTTTTGCAATTTCAGTCGCCCTCATTAGCCTCCCTAGTTCGAACTAGGGGGCTAGTGTAGATGTACCCTCAGTATTTTACTGAATCAGGTCAACTATGACATTGAGCCAATGAGACATTGGTTAATTACACATGAGGAAAAATGTGTTCTGGAGCTTTCCCTATAAATCAGAGTAGAAGTTGGCCTATTTTTCCTAATAGCTTTTGAAATTAACCCATTTATGGATGTCACATACACTATGTTCATTACTTTTCTTTTTTTTTTTAAACCTAAAACTGCTAGTAAAAAATGTGCATATGGATATCTACTACAATACCACTAAATGTAAGAGCACCTTGGAACAATCAAGAATAGAGTACTGGTCTTGCAAGAAGCTCCACATCAAGGCTGCTGGGAGCAGGTGGTTGGAACACTCTCTGGGCTAAGGCTTCTGGGAAGAAATGGGTGTCAGAGCTCATGAACCAGGGGATCAAACTAATGGAAGGCTGGAGCAGTGACCAGTTTTTTTGCTTCTTGGAGGTTGCAACTTTATTTGGACCCTGACCAAGTATGGTCCTGGTGTCCCTGGAGATGTGGGGCAAATTTAAGTGAGTGGAATTGCACACTGGCATATGGTGTCACAGAACTGCTCAGGTTTGGCACCCTATGCAGTCAGGCCTCTTTTCAACACTCTACCAGATAACAAAGGTGTAAGATGGGGTGGGCTTTCAGGAGGACTCAGGTTTTTCAGGTCCCTTTTTGTGGCTCAGCTCATCCTAGACTTGTTCTGCCTCCTTGTTGTTGTCAGGAGCCATCAGAGCAACAGTGTCCTCTTCAGAGTACTTGAAGCTGGCAACTAAATCCATCTTTCTTCCCTGAGAGGAGAGAACCAGCTTTCCTCCTCACTTAGCTGCCCAGTCCTCCTGTGGCTCAGAGGTAGTTCCTTGTCTGAGATCAAACTTGTGTCCAGAGTCAGCTGAGACTCAGTGCCCTCTTCCCTTAGAGCTGGTAAAGTTCCTGTTGGTTTTTTAAAAGACAGCAAATCATCTCTGCCTCAGATATCCAATGAACTAATGTATTTGCTCTCTTCTGGTTTGTACAGTATCCAGCAGTGCTGCTTTTGGCAGGAGCTTATTGTCCTGGAGTTGGGGAGCTAGCTGGGCATGGCTGAGTTCATTTGTTAAGTCATATTTCATAAATACACCCAAGCATGTTGCCTACTTAGCAAATGTTCCAGAATAAAAAGAGAGAGCATGAGTAATTAGATTTTTAAAAGCATCAAATTGCCATGTATGGGTAAATGAAATTTTCCCTAGCTAGATCTATTAACATTAAACATATTTCACAGTAGTTTATTTTAAAAGTCTTATCTGATCTTTCTCTCATGGCTTGGAATAATGATCTTATCTGTGATTTTGAGAATCGTGGTAGCAGATCTGATCTCTCAGTGAAAGGTAGATATGTTATTCATGATGTCCAGTAGAATGGGGTGGGTCCCTAAATCCTATGGTGACCTGGGATTCTGAAGGCTACTTATTTTGTCAACAGGAAAAGGAAACAACCAAATTGCATTGCAAACTTACCACGTTATTTGTTCTTGGCTAGCCACAGAACTGAGTTCAAAGTTATATGTGTCTGCACAAACTTTCACTCCCAGGCTGTGTCCAGACTCAGGGTTTTTTTCAAAAAAAGTAGCCTTTTTTCGAAAAAACTTCACCTGCATCTAGACTGCAGCCGCATTCTTTCAAAATTAAATTGAAAGAACGCGGCTTTTCTTTCGACGGCGGTAAACCTCATTTCACGAGGAAGAACGCCTTTTTTTGAAAGTGCTCTTTCGAAAAAAGGCATTCTTGAATGCCAACAGGGCTTTTTAGAAAGAGAGCATCCAGACTCACTTGCTGCTTTCTTTTGAAAAAGCGGCTTGCTTTTTCGAAAGTACTGCTTGCAGTCTAGACGCTCTTTTTCGAAAGATCGCGTCTAGACTGCAGGCGGATCTTTCGAAAGAGCAATCCGCTTTTTCGAAAGAGAGCACCCAGCGAGTCTGGATGCTCTCTTTCGAGGAAGCCCTATTTACATTGAAGAACGCCTTCTTTCGAAAGAGGAATAATTTCGAAAGAACGCGGCTTGAGTCTGGACGCAGGGGAAGTTTTTTCGGGAAAAGGCTACTTTTCCCGAAAAAACCCCTGAGTCTGGACACAGCCTGAGGGACAGCAAAACCTTTTCCTTTGCCTGATGTGGTTGTAGACACCTCAGCTCTCTAGCCATGGAGCAGGACTTGCCTCCCAGTAGTCAACAGCTCTTATATGTCTTAGTGTACCTCCTGCT